AAAAAGGTCTGCTAATAACAGGGCGCAATTGGTACCCATGGGAATTCCAATAGATTGTTGGAAGACCTGGTCTCCAAAAACCACGTAGGTATTGTCAATCAGGAACTCAAGCATCTTTTCAATATTAACTTCAGAGTACATTTTTTTGTGTGTACAATCAGAATGTTTTTTAACAAAATAATTTTGCAAATGACCAATTACAAGGTAAATAAATTACGAGTTCTATTTCTATTGAAAAAGCAGCTGTCAATGATACCAAAAAGCCTGGACTTTAATTTATCATGGGGAATGGTTGTGTATAAAGTTGAAAAGTCGTAAGTTTTTAGACTGTTGATTTTGGTAAATTCTTGTTATTCCTTGGAATTTTTAAGTATCCACATCTGATTTACACCACTTCTCGAATATATTGTTGCACAGTACTCTTGAAGTTTCTCCTTCACTACTGTTAATATCTTAGTGAGGAGTAAAGAAAGAGGCTTGGTTGAACATTTACTGGAACCCGCTATGTATCTTTGTTTGTAAGGATTTTTATGAAGTTTCGAAATCCAATATAGATATGGTAATTCAATTCATTTTGGTTGCTTGGAATATTAAAAATATTCAAAGCTGACATATGATTTTGAAGAATTTCTTTCTTAGAAAGGGAAGTATGAGTATAAGTTGGATTACCACTTGTAGAATCAAATCCAAATTTCTCTAAAATACATTTAATATAATGAGCCTTACAAACAAAGACAATGTTGTTACCTGCTTTGTCAGCAGGGACGAGTACGTACTGATCATGTAATCTATCTAATTCTTTTTTAACTTCTGGATTATTGAATACAGAAGGATAGATGGTTCTCATATTGCCCCTCAGTCTTTTAATGCGCGATTTTAACATACATCTGATACATTTAATCCATTCTGACAAAGTGTCAAGGTCTTCTTTTTCATGTCTGGCCCATCGCCTGGCGTAATCCTCTACAGAATCAATAATATTTAAGAAATTTCGACGCCAGTTGAAGGATCGGAGTTCCCTATTTTAAGGACCTTTTAAAATTAGTGATCTAAGGTCCTCATTATTAACTATATTTACGTCACCAGTAATAACGTGTCCAGCAGGACTATAGTTATAGGGTGAAGAAGAACATGAACACGATGGAGGATTATGCTTCAGATATTCGATATCCAGGCCCTGTAAAGTTTTCTTGTAATTAAAAAGTTTTGAAGCAATAGTCGATGTATATTTGTAGGAAATACAAAGTGTAGTCTTTAACTTGAAATATGGTGGAATACAAGACTGGACCCTTTTGTGATTCAGAATATTACATATATTAACCGCGTCAATTCCTTTGTTTGCATATTGAAGTTTAAGGAAAAAACGAAGTGTTCTGGCTGCATTTTTTTTCAGTAAAACGTGGGGGTTTAAAAAGCCAATGATTTGCAATATCCATAATCATAGATCCGAGCCTATATTCTGGTGTCGAGGAATCCAAAAATGGACTTTCCTTGACCTTTTCAAGAAGACTTAAGTGCAAAATTCTCTAATGGGACGTAAACAACATGTAAAATCTATCAATCAATCTATTTTTTTCCTTTTAAAGTTGGTAATTCTAACTTCAATTTAAAGTTGGTTTTAATAGGTGCAATTTTTGTTATAAAGAGTATTTATGTATTGAAGTCCCGGGGGAGTTTAGATTGTTATTATTAACTGCTGTATATATATATATATATATATATATATATATATATATATATATATATATATATATATATATATATATATATATATATATATATATATATATATAATGCACATTTTTTTAATTTCATGGAATTTGATGTTTTAATATGATAAATACATGTACATTTCTATGTAAAATACTAGAAAATAGAATTACAGTTACTGATGTACATCTTATATTAAGATTTCATTTATTTAGTTAAACATTATTATAATTGTAATTATATGGATGTTATTTAGCGAATAATGAGTGAATGTTGAAAGAATAAAAAGTCCTCTCATGGTGAATTGTGTATTTGTACTATAATTATGTAACGAAGTGAACCCAGGGCTGAACGCTGGCACTAAGGTTTACTTTGACATGTGATGGGACATTTACACAAAAAAGAGTAATGCATATTTTCTTGACAAAGTAAAGAACAATGGAAGAGAATACAGTGAAAGAAATTTATGAATGAAGCGTTACACGAAGAATTTATTTATATGCGACGACTGTATAAAATTACGCAATTTGAACACATTTGAATATCAGAAACTCTAAAACTTTCATTTCATTTATTATTTTAACGTTATTTTTACTTACAGCTTCTCAGTTATACTTCTGTATATACATATGGATATATTCAAGTCATTAATTAGTACGTTATATTTGTCTTTTAACCAGCTAAAAAACAGATACTAACTAGTACTTTCCTAAAATACACAATACTTGAAAGCTTACTAAGTCGGTATTTTCATCAGGAACTTGACTCTTTCTTGATAAAGTAATAAATAAATTGAAATTATTCATTTAAAAGAATTAAACAGATATTTAAAAAATTACTCCTAAAAACTTATTAAATAATGAACAATAGCAGCTGCATAAAGTCAAAATCTTCATTAATGAATTTCTGTCACTGATATAATCGTCTTTCGTTGAATGTTTGTGGCTTTCTGTCATTTATCTGTTATCACTGAAATGAAATAAAATTTTTATTAATCATTGCACACAAAGACGCCATAGTTGCCTGCATTGCCACTACTTGCAGGGTTTACTCCGGTATAATCACCTGTTTTAGTTTAACTGACCTTTCATAATTTTCATTTACATTCGTTTCCTTTAGTGCTAGAGCAAAAACGTTGATCATGTGTGATGAATGGAATTCCCATAAATTCACGTGATAAAAAATGGTGTCAAGCTAAAAGCGAAGGTTTATTATATAAGCAAGAGAAGTACAGAAAGAAGCTCCAAGGTTGTGCCGTACTCAGATGTATACCTTATTCGAACACCATAATGCTAATAATAATATACAAAAGAAATAAAGTCATCATTTTATTATTTTTGAGATTGCAAACATATTATTTTTACTCGTTTCTTCTCTTTTTGTCGCCAGTAATTCATGACTGCGATTCCTCTGAGAAACAACAGAAGCAACGGTTTGAGATGACATTTTTTAAGTGTGTGAGCATACTTTAGCGTGTTTAAAATCGCCGTTATTTTGCATGACAATTTTATCACAGATTACTCAGTGTTTATATCTCTTCAATACATGGTTTGAAAATGCGTATATCTTTGTATGTGTGCAAGATGGAATGTTTGAATCCACTTGCACAAGTTATCAATTCTGGTTTTCAATGAAAAAAAAAATCAAAATCAAAATATGTAGATATATTTATACAACCTCAAAAACAAATTTACAATGAAGACATGTATATATTTGTTAGATATCCGCACATAATTTTTTTGATATATACGAGTATTATGAATGGATGGGATGCATGTTCGTGTGTTGACTTCTTTTTGACTTGTGCTTATCTTAAATTAATGAGTGTAAGTTTCTAGTTTTTATCGAAACAGCAAAGTTTGATTAATCTCTGAAAAAAATTGTATATATATATATATATATATATATATATATATATATATATATATATATATATATATATATATATATATATATATATATATATATATATATATGCTTTGTCTCAAACAATATTATATCTTTCAAAACAATGATTTTACTTGATTGTACTTGTAACTGATTCCAATTTGCTTGTTTTTCATTGCTTAAAATGTGTTACTTAATGCTGTATTTTTTAAAATTTGGATGTATATTCTAAATGTACATATTTCACAATGCTTGCATGAGATTAAAAATATTGGATATCTGAAGAAAAAAAATGATATAGGTAAATGTAAAATAGTTTGTATATTATTATTGCTACAACACATATTTATCACGGAAGTTTCTTATTTTACCACTTATTATTTTATTATCCCTAAATATATACATTTATATCTATAGTGAAAACACGAAAAAAAACCTAATAAATAGGAATTTACTTCAACTTTACCATCTAACAAATTCATACCCAACTTTCTAAGGATTTTGGGTATCCTATGAACTTAAGATACTGTTTGGAAATAAAAGAGCTGTTCGGACAGACGCCTGTGATGGTTGGTTCTCCCTACTAGTTATACTTTTAATTTCATGAATGATTCAATCGAATTTATAGTTAAATAGAATAAATGTTTACTTTAAACATGTTTTATTGAATGATTTAACAAGGATTGGGAAACAGGCAAAGCCTATGCACAACCTCTCCTTGTATAATAGGTCTAGACAAAGACAATAAATAATAATACTTATACATGATAATAAACATGCTAATAATAAAAAATAAAGATTCACAATCAAGTATTATTCATAATAATAAATGTTTCCAGATCTAACTGGCATTTGTCTGGATTTCAGTTGATTTTGCCATAAGCTGCAAAATGTAACAGGACTATATACAATTAAAATCAAGCTATATTAAGAATTAAGCTAAAAAAAAAAAAACATTGAAGCGTATATAAGAAAATTTCAAAAATAATTCACTGTTATCAAACATCTCGTAATGCTATATAATATTTTCTACAGTTACGAAAAAATAAATTGTGCCAAATATTAATCACTATTAAAATGGCATCTATTTTTACATGTATTTGATAATTTCTTGGAAACAAAAATCAAATTGGTGCATGATAAACATTTAAATATGAATTCCTATAGCAAAACAACGATGACATGGTACTGGCATACATAGGTCCTGGTATATAAAGCTTTGACATGCTCTGGAACACTTACAAAATTATGAGAACACTTGGCATTTGGTTGTACGTGGTTGTGTTCACCACTGATCTTGGAATGGGGGCGTTTGGCCCCCCTCACTTGACTTCTGAATTCCTTCAGAATCTGGGCATTGAACCCGGAGGGCACAGACCCATAACTCGGCCCATTACACCGTATGTGCTACAGCTTTTTCTTCAGATGGAAGAAAAACAAGATGATCTGCGTATGTATTCAGACCGCGATCCAAAGGTGCAGTTCTATGATCCGGAGTCTCGTAAGTTAAATTACATCTTTTTCAAATTTTGTTTGCTTGTTTTGCGCTATAAAGCATTTTCTAAAATTGCCCTTTCTTTTTAGAAAGCACCCTTATATAGATTTTGCGATTTAAACTTTATTTTCCTATATACATTTTAAATGTTTTAAAGTAGTACATGTAATTCAAACATTGAAAAATAAAAGTCCTATAAAAATAAATGTTGAGATAAATCATTCAATACCTCGTTAAAATTAACTATATGTTTTAACAATTAACAGAAAGTTACATTAAGTATTTCGTTAATCAAAATGAAATATTTTAAACAATTAACAGAAAGTTATGAATATACATACGAAACTTATTTATGACAAGCAATTAATTTTTCATATCCTGATAAAGCTAATTGAATTTCATCGTTTAATTTTTCATTAAGAATGCACAAATAATTCTGGGCATATATTTTTGTTTAATGCAAACAATCCCTATGCGTACCTCTCCCCCTTTCCCTATGTCATGTTCTAAACTTTGAATTTACCGGGTGGGAGTAAATACAAAATTTAGAACATGAAACCTACATGAAAAATAGAACAATCATTAACATAAAATCAAACTAACAAGAATAAAAGAAATTTTTCGAAATAACAAGTGTATTCTTTAAAATAAATTCAAACATCTTAATTTTGTAATCACTGGACTGCTTCTGCATAAAAGTATTTTTTTAAATAATGTACGTTAAACAAATAACTATTGCGAATATCAACGTATTGAAATTCTGTTGACATAAAGGGAAACAATATACAATCAAAGTAAGTCGAAAAAAATATCATAAAACTTAATATTTACACTCAGCATGTATTTTGTTATATTTACATTTGCAAATGTTTTCTTTTATATAACACTATTAAAAGCAACGCGTATCTATTTAAGGAATGAATTTAATAGCTTCACTTTTTAACAGGTATAAAGTGGTTTGGGACAGTTTACGCTTAAAAAACCGCGAAGCGGTTTATAAAAAAAGCGTAAACTGTTCCAACCCAGTTTATACCGTATAAATTGGGTAGCTATTAAATTCATTCCTTATAATTTAATTTTCATTCATTTGGTGTAAGAAAAAAAGATGATTGTCCTTAAAAAATGACTTCAATTTGTACAAAATTTGAATGTAACGTCAGGCGGATCGATACGTTTTTGACGCAAGTCATTGTGACGTAGGCAACCTATTTTATACGATATAAAGTAAATTTTTTATTCAATCAAATACAACGTTACAATCAGAATTAAATTATATCCGTATAAACACGGGTTCCTCGAGTCATAAACGTTCGACGTAATTTCTCAGTGACGTCATAAAGGGTCGACGCGCAATCATTGGATCAAACACGTGCCGTTGGGTTTGAAAAATAAAACGTTTCACGCGTTAAAGATTATAATCAGGCAAATATAAAATATGAATGTCACAAATGTAAATATATGTAATAAGGTATCATTTTAAAACATCTATTGGGCTATAAATACGGGTTGGTACGAGATCAAATTTACCATAATGCCCTTCGGGCTTTATGGAATTTGATCTCGTGACCAACACGTATTTATAGCCCGATAGATGTTTAAAAATGAAAACTTATTTCTTAAATAAAGTGTGAGGAAAGCTATTCAAAACACCATAACACGGACAGAGGGTTAAAAGATTAAACTATGCGTTTCATTTTGACGTCACAAACGTTGAACGCCATGGAAGTGCAACGTCATAAGCGAAAATCAAAATTCACGCTCACATTGAAAAGAAGCTGTTGCAAAAGCTCTTCCATTAATTATAACTTACCCAAAGGATGATACAGGGATTTTGAAATAAAAATCAGATTTGCAGTCAATGCAAGAAGTTAAAAAATGTAAATATAAGTATTGATTCAATATTTTTTGAAAGAGATAGTCTCATAACTGCAACGGTGTATGCAAACAAATTTTCATAACGCGCGTTACTCAATTTGTTTGCAGTTATGAGTCAATATCTTTTTAAAAAAATAATTTTTCAATGCTTAAACAAGGGAGAAAATTGATTTTACATATATGAAGATAAGATCGAGATTTATTATATCATACAATAATGTTAGTTCCAAAGTGATAAAAATATGCAGATTATATCTAAAAGTCGTTAATGTGCACTTCATTTGTGATTTCCAAACTCATTTTCACTGAATGTTAAATCAGTGTTGTACCTTAAGAGTTTCATTTTCTGAAAGTTTATTAGTAATGTAAATGATATAGTGAATTTTAATTTTTTTTTTTCTGATTAAACGCATTCAATTTTTTTTTGGTTACTCTTATTACGCATACTTAATGATGAACAGTGATCGATTCACTGAAAAAAGACACCAGACAAATCAAAATGTGGAACTGGTCGTTTTGAAAATATCACTGCCCATTTTCCAAAAAAATGAATTCCAGACAAAAATAGAAAATAAAACATCCGTCCCAAAAAAAACATACAGAGGCCTTAATTTAAAACTTAATGCAAAAGACAGGTAAGTATCGATACAGACAGGTAATTTAGCCTACATTTCCCAAAGGACTCTAAATTGTGTTGTTAGTTATGGTTGCTGTCATACTTCAAATATGGAAATTCTACTATTTCAGTGATGACCACGGTGAACTATACAAAGATTGCATGACGTTGTGAAAACTTTTCAAATATCAAGTGGCATACATGTATTTTTGCATATTGGAGATTCTTTATAAAAAACAAACAAACAAAAACAAAAACAAAAACAAACAAACAAACAAAAAAAAAAAAAAAAAAAAACAAAAACAAAAACAAAAAAAAACAAAAAAAACAAATACACGAAATATACAAAAGTGGCAGTTTCTTTTTAAATCAATTTTCATCGCAAAAAAGTTTTAATTTAGAGAAAAATTTTATTCACATGTCTAAAATCAATTAAATCAAACAATTATACAAACTAATGCGTTTTTCTTCAGCTAGTTGCCAACATACGTAAATATAACGTATTTTCTGTCTTCACAAACAAGTAAAGTGTTTTCTGCATAAGAGGAGTGATAACTCATACCAATAAATATCAATACTTAAAGAATTAACAATGATATGTACATGAGAATCGTATCAAAAGAAGGGACTATACAGAAAAAAAAAATCAAAAAGGTTATCTGTCATAATTCAAGATTATATATTTTTTAATTTTTCATGGCCAGCATTTGAAATCGTATTATATAACAAATAATCATTGCTCATGTCTCTGAGCCGATTTTATTATTATTTGCATGTAGACTTTACTTACTCGCTGGAAAGAAAAGAGCGCGTGTAAATTTTGCGCTTATCTGGCATAGTGTCAGAACTTGTTGAACAAATGTTGTATGTAGGACATTTCAACATCCACAAAGAAAAATTTTGGACATCTGTAAAATTCGTCCATAGAGTGTACTTATTGTACTTTTTCTGTAGAAAAAATAAACTGCGTACTCTCTTTAAGCAATTCCAACATTTCCGACCAGAAGTTCACTTATAATATATTCATATTTTTCAGAAATAATTGAAAAAAATTGTACGATACAGGATTACCATAAAACGTGTCACTGTTTCAAGTTTTATCATCCTTTTATACAGAAACCTCTGATGGTCTCATTGAATTTGATTTATCGAGAGCACCAATTGACGGAAACGTGACCAAAATAGAGCTCGCCTTCACGGGACACACTCATCGGCTGTTCTCTATCCAAATTACATCGCCATATCGTCCAGGGATCAGTAAGTTCTTATAGATTGGTATTTCATACAGTAGATAATTATTAAGCAATGTTGAATTATCATATCAAAATATTTGAGATATGTGACCTGAACCTCACTGTAGATGACAGAGGCCTATCTTTATTATTGTCTCCTGTTATCTTGTTCCTTAATAATCAAACTTGTTATGGTACTGTCTTGTTAGAACACTTCTGCAACCCTACCATTAACAAATTCTGTCAAAATTCTGTTGCTGAGTTTACATAGGCACTTCGACGTTACCGCTTCCCCACCAGTTTCTTTGTATATACTGCTGCTTTCCGTTATTTTCCGTTGCATTGGTTATAATTCTAAGCAGATTATCTGGAAAAATCAATCTTTATTTAAGATTCAAACTGTTTTATTTAATCTCCATGTGTTTGCAATTGCCTCTTTTGGATTTTCTAAGATTGTATTAGGGGAGAGTACTTGACATACACACACACACACACACAGAGAGAGAGAGAGAGAGAGAGAGAGAGAGAGAGAGAGAGAGAGAGAGAGGATTAAATGTAGTCAATAAACGAGGGAAGTCTTGATCTTATCTACATCGAATGCAAGCTTAAAAGCGTAAGAGCAGGATGGATCAGAAGACTTTACAATAAAAAAAATCCACGCGAAGTAAAATTTTTAGATAACGCATTAAAAAAATTAATGGGATACACTTTGAGTATCTCCTAGGCAGGAGTATTATATGAATCCGAAATAATTCCATATTTTAAATAAGTTTCCAAAAATTAATTAAGATATTTTTGTCGTTTTAACAAAAGTAAATTTCTAACACCACCACGAATGAAATATATGGAGATAACGAACAGTATTCAAGCTCAAAAGTCCATTAAAAATACAAAATAGGAGCGGAGCAAACACGGACCTCCAAAACATCAGAGGTGGGATTAGGTGCCATGGAGGAGTGAGCATCTCCTGCCGACCGGTCACACCCGCCGTGTGCTCCTTGTCATGATCGGGAAATAACGGAAAAATTCGTCGACAATTCAGTGTGTAAATAATGGTCTAACAATTAGTATGAAAAACGTCAGTCAGCATTTGACTCAATGATAAATTGTATTTGCTGACAAGGTCATTGTATCGACCATAGAACTTATGAAATGATGACTTTAAATGAGACTGCTGATATTCTTGTTTCATCAACTTGTTTGTCAATAATTTACCTCGTTTTAGAAATTGTACATACGTAGAGCATGCTCTTGAATCAACAGAGAGATATAAACCTTCTATGCAAGTATTGAAGGTATATTGCTGCGTAAGTAAGGGAAGTTGACGATTGAAAAGTTAAGTCATCACGTTTATCATAAAGCTTGGTTGTTAGATTATCATTAACGTCTTTTTCAAGTAAAATATCCAAATATGAAACAGATGTGCCAGACTCTGTGGTATCTTTTATCTCAAGCTCACCAGGATATATAGTAAACTTATGGTTAAACAGTCATCTTTAACAAAACAATAAGCCACTTTACCAAAAAAGTTGGGCAAGAGTGGTATTTTATATGTAAAAGATCTGTTTACAAGAGAAGGTATGAAAGATATAAATGATGTCAAAGAGATCATTGAATCAAAGATTAATTACTTAATATAAAATTAGGCATTTAAAAACCTAAATATATATTTCAACAATGTAAATAAAACAAATATTCAAAAGTCACACTTTTACTTTTACGGAAAAAATAAAACTCCAGAATTCGAAGAATCGTGATTTTATTATAATACTCTGGTTTCTAAAAAGATGCAAAAGCCAATACTGGAACCGAAATGGTCAAAATAATTTAATATGACAAATGGTCAAATGGAAAAATGTGTACACAGCTATGATATCAAATGTTTTTGATAAGTAGATAGCAGAATTTAATTTTAAACTTTTACATAACCAGCTGAATTGTAATTCAATGTATCTTTGTTTTTAAGGATTTTTTATGAAGTTTAGGAATGTAGATCAAACACACCTTGTGACTGGAATGTTAAAAATATTAAAGACTGAAATGTGATTTTGAAGAAGCTCATCCTCAGAAAGTGAACAGCTAGTATAAGTAGAATAACCAAATGTGGAATTCAAACCAAGTTACTCTAAAATACAGCTGTAATAATGAGCCTTACAAAGTCGATATTATTACAAGCCTTGTCTGCTGGAAACATAACAGATTGTTCACGTATAGTCTCTCTTATTCTTTTAGCACCACCGATTTAGTGAAAACGGAAGAATAGATCGTTTGCATATTTCTTTTTAACTTTCTAACAATGTAAGGGACCAGGCAAAATTTATCACAATGATGGGACCGGTACAAACAGACATGGGACAATGAATTTTTTCATCGAAGAAAACCATGGGACAAAAACATTTTTTAGCATTAAGTAGCCATGGGACAAACACTTTTTAAATGAGTTACAGTACTTCATTATTTATCATATTTAAACATATTTTATCTTTTAAAAAATAAATTCTTCAAAAAATCATTATATCTTTTAAAGTCAAACAAAGGATACAAAGTGCAACATAAATCTTCAAATTAATACTGCATGCAAAAATAAAAAGTAACAAACGATTTTAATAAGAGTTATGAACATGAACAAACAAATTATTTTAATAAATCATTCAAAATATATACTGTTAACAAATTCTAGAGTAATATCTCTAAAACAACCAAAATCAATCATGTATTTTACACGAATGGTCTCTCAGGGTTCATCCATTCAGACAACTTTCATAGAACAATTATAGGCATTTATGTCTGCTGTTCGATCCAATTCATTTATAATGAAAAAAATATATTATAAACTAAAACTTTCATCAATGTTTGAAATACCTGTAATCTGAAAGACTCCTTCAGTTAATATATAAAAGTAATTGTTAACATTGTACTCTTTGTTTTTTTGTTCTGTTTTGTTTTGTTTTTGTTTTTTGTTTTTTGTTTTTGTTTTGTTTTTTTTTTTTTTGTTTTTTTTTTTGTTTTTTTGTTTTGTTTGTTTGTTTGTTTGTTTGTTTTTTTTTTTGCAATAATGTAACATTAAAAGTTTAAATTAAAAGATTAGATAAGAGATAGTTATAGATAAGTTAAAACTTTAGATTTAAACTTTTAATGTAACAATAATCTCACATCAAGATTTAACCATGGGACAGTAACTTTTTTATAAGTCTAAAGGCATGGGACAAATATTTTTTTTCAATACGAAAGTCATGGGACATGTAATTTTTTTTAATGAGAATTTTTTTTGTACCGGTCCCATCATGGTGATAAATTTTGGCTAGTCCCTAAAGGATCAATTAAAGTATGTGTATGCCAATTCATGATAAATTGGTCAAAACTATATATAGAAAAAAATTATTTCAAAGAACCTAGCTTATTATAAACGTTTACTTCACAGATGTTCTTTCTTTCTTTCTTTTTTTTATAATTTGTATTTCCAATATTTCAGGGGTAAATTCCTTTCATACAGGACAAGGACACGTGGCTGACGTCACAAATCTGGCTATAGATCAGGTGTTAAATACAACATTAGAACTGTATGTCTCCATCAGTGAATCAACTCACCAGATAAGACATCTTAATCCGATTTTGGCGATTTTTCTGGACATAAATGTCTCTTTATTGCACAGAGATCGGCGGAAGCGATTTGTGCCTAGTAATAGAAATTCTACAATAAATATGGAAACAGCTGAAACGCTAAATTACTGTCGTTTGAAGGAGTGGACAGTAGACTTTAGGGATTTGGGATGGTACGGAAAATTTATTCAGCATCCTATAACATACCGAGCGAACATCTGTGCTGGATATTGCCCGGTGGCTCCAATGGATCCGTATTTCAACGCCACAAACCATGTACTCGTAAAGTATCTCCTGGAGAAGAGACTGTGTTGTTCCCCAATAGAATACATGTCACAGACTTTAATATTCGTGAACAACAACATGACGGCCATGCAGACGGTTAGAGGGATGTCGGTGTCACGTTGTGGCTGTCGTTGAACATCATTCAATTGTCCGAGTCAAGCATGTAATATATGTACGTATACATGTATTTTTCCACGTGACTCGTTAATTTGAAATGAGTATGTCTTTATGTTGTAAAGATCTGCTCATAGTCAGGGCCCATAACTCCAAAGAAACCCGCCAGAAAATTGAATTTGCAAATTTTTGGACGTCTTTTTCTTGAGAATAGACATTGTATTTTGCAGCTACACTCGTATTTGATCTTCGAGATCTAAAGCTTTGAAGGCTAAAAACTGGATTTTTTTGTTGATTTTAATTCTACCACTCATTTGAAACTACAATGTTTAGTGAAGCACGGATTATTGATCAAGACCGAAAGAATGCATCATGTTCAAAGGAAAAAGAACAATGTATATTTATGTTTTTTGTGAATCTTCATGAATTTTGCAAGGCAAGGCCCATGTAGAAAAATTTGTTTGTCTTTACACGTAACTTCGTTGTAGGGAATCTTTTTATAAGTGGGACAGTGATTGATAGTAATTTACATTCTCAGTAAAATATTATCAGGGCTTAAACATTGTTACATTGAATTTACATTCTCAGTTAAATATTATCAGGACTTAAACATTGTTACACTGAATTTACATTCTCAGTTAAATATTATCAGGACTTAAACATTGTTACACTGAATTTACATTCTCAGTTAAATATTATCAGGACTTAAACATTGTTACACTGAATTTACATTCTCAGTTAAATATTATCAGAACTTAAACATTGTTACACTGAATTTACATTCTCAGTTAAATATTATCAGGACTAAAGCATTGTTACACTGACAGGAAGAATGGTGAGCTGCTATTCTGTCGTTGGTACACAATTTCTAGAGATAACTGTACGAATCATACACAATTTGGATGGAATAAAATGGTAAGGAATAATACTATTCAAGAAATGTGAGTATACATAACACAGTTATAACAGTTCTATATCCATTTCTACAAGAAAAAAGGTATGGACTGTAAATTTACAGATTTGGAATTTAATTTGTGTAAACTGTTTTTCTCGACAAATGCATTTTTCTTTCCTTTTATTTATCACACAAACTTCTTTTATAAGGGCAATGATCATACATTTGATTAAATAAAATTTATGGAATGAGAGTTGTGCCAACAGTTTGTTTCTAATTTCATAGAATCTGTAGTCTCAGTAGCAGGTCTATTTACATAGAATCTGTAGCTTCAGTAGCAGGTCTACTTTGGCATTTCTCCCTGAAAACCTTACCCTGACAAGTCATCAATTAAAGGCATTTTGCAGTTTTTGAAGATACTGCAATGCAACATCTACCCTACTTATACTGGATTCCTAAATGAAATATGGAGATAACGAACAGTAATCAAGCTCAAAGTCCATTGAAACAATACAAATCTGGAGCAGAGCAAAGACGGACCTCCAAAAGTATCAGAGGTGGGATAAGGTGACATGGAGGAGTAGGCACCCCCTGTCGACCGGTCATAAAAATCCTTACAACGTGTTCATATTCTTCTTCACTCTACATTTATAGTCTTGCCGGAAGCGTCATTTCTGGTGACGTAAATATAGTTAATAGTGAGAACTTTAAATCACATATTTTAAAAGGGTCAAATTTTAGGGATCCCAATCTTTTAACAGGCATGATAATTTCATAAATATTATGAATTCTGTGGAAGATTACGCCAGGCATGAAAAAAGAAGACCTAGATACTTTGTCAGAATGGATTAAAAGTATCAGATGGATGTTGAAACCCTGCATTGTGCAATTGGTGGGTAACATGAAAACCATCCTATCCTTCTGTCTTCAATAATTCAGAGTGAAGACAAATAATTAGATTACACAATCAATATGTACTGGTCCCAGCTGACAAAGCAGGTACAACATAGTCTTTATAAAGCTCATTATTTTAATTGTAAATTAGCAGAGCTGGAATTTTAATTTTAAATTCTGCAAGTGATAATCCAACTTACATCCATATCTCTCTATCTAAGAAGGAAATTTTCTCAAAATCATATGTCAGTTTTAAATAATTTTGATATTCCCAATAATTAAATTGATTTTAAATTACCATACTTATACTGGATCCCTAAACTACGTAAAAATCCATAAAAACTAAGGTACCAAGGAGAAAATTCAGGAGTACTGTACAAAACTGTATTCGAGAAGTGGTGTAAATCAGATATGGATGAAATATATGGAGATAACGAACAGTATTCAAGCTCAAAAGTCCATTAAACATTACAAAATAGGTGCAGAGCAAACACGGACCTCTAAAACATCAGAGGTGGGATAAGGTGCCATGGAGGAGTGAGCATCTCCTGCCGACCGGTCACACTCGCCGTGTGCTCCTTGTCATGATCGGGATATAACGGAAAAATCCGTCGACAATTCAGTGTGTAAGATATGGACACTTAAAAATTCTAAGGAGATTCTCTAAGGAGCTTTTAGAAAATTTGAAATCACAAAATTTTACCAAATCAATCACATTAGAACGTACGACTTTTCAACACTCTATACAGCCATTGCCCACGATAAATTTAAGTCCAGGCTTTTTGACACTAAAGACACCTTTTTCTTCAATAAAAATGGAACTCGTAAATTTATTGTCCCCCGTATGCGCGAAAGCGAGGGGCATTAAATCTCATTCGTCTGTCTGTCTGTCAGTGTGTCCTTCTGTCAGTCTGACTGTCATAAAAACAACCTTGGTCATAACTTTTGAATGAGAAGAGATAGGACTTTCATATTTCACATGTACATTACCCGTGACAAGACCTTTAAAATATGCTATGATTTTGATTCCATGACTTTGAAGTTTGACCTACTTTTCAAAAATTTTAACATTACTTTATATTGGTCATAACTTTTGAATGAGAAAAGATGAGGCTTTCATATTATACATGTATATTACCTGTGGCAAAGCCTTTCCAAATATACTATGATTTTTTGATCTTGTGACCTTGACCTTGAAGTTGACCTACTTTTCAACAATTTTATCTTTCCTTATAACCTTTGATTGAGAAAAGATAGGGCTTTCATATTTGACATGTGCATTATATGTAGGTGTGACAAGACGTTTCCGAGCATGCTATGATTTGTTGACCCCTTGACCTTCATGTTTGACCTAATTTTCAAACATTCAACTTTGGTGATTACTTTGAATGAGATATGATGGGGCGTTCATATTTGACAAGTGCATTATCCTTATTAAAATGTTTCCAAATGTGCTATCATATTTGATCCCGTGACCTTGATCTTCAAGTTTGACCTAATTTTCATTTTATCAGTGTTGTTAACTTTTGAAGGATCGAGGATAGGACATTCATATTTGTCACGTGCATTACTTGTGACAAGCATTTCCAAATGTAATATGATATTTAACCCCATGACCTTGACCTTAACATTTGACTTAATTTTCAAAACATTTAACATTGCTGATAACTTTTGACAGAGTCCGACACATCTGTTTCATATTTCAATATTTTACTGAAAAGACGCTAATGGTAGCCTCACAACAAAACAACTAACATGGTCGACTCAGTGACCTTTACAGTAAATATATTCTATCATTAAGTCGAATGCTAACTGACGTTTTTCAAATTGATTGGCCATTATTTAAATACTGAATTGTCTACGGATTTTTCGGTTTGTCCGATCAGGACAAGGAGCACACGGCGGGTGTGACCAGTCGACAGAGGATGCTTACTCCTCCAAGGCAACTGATCCCACCTCTGCTGGGTTTTTTTTAGAGGTTCGTGTTTGGTCTGCTCCCCGATTTGTATTGTTTCATTGGACTTTTGAGCTTGATCACTGTTCGTTATTTTCATATTTAATTACAACGATACATTACTGGGCCCAGCACTTGCCCTATCAATCTCCCATCTTTACTTCCCTACAAAAATATATATTGCAGTATAAAGCAGACGCACAGTGCTACAGCAGATTCTAGAAATAGTGTAAATCAGATGTGGATTGCCAAAACCTGCAAAAAACTTCTAGAAAATTTAAAATCACCAAATTTTTTAAAAGTCAGTAACATCAAAACGTACGACTTTTCTACACTTTATACAACCATTCCTAACGATAAATTCAAAACTTGGCTTTTTGATTTCAAAGACAACTGCCTCTTCAATAAAAATGGAACTCGGAAATTTTCATAACTTGTGATTGGTTATCAACAAAATTACTTTGTTAAAAATCACGCTGATTCTACAAACAAGTACACTGTAGTTGTTATTAAAAGGACGCTGAAGTTCCTCATTTACAACATCTATGTAGTCTTTGGAGACCAGGTCTTCAGGTCTTCCTACAAACTGTTGGAATTTTTTAATGGGCACTAATTGTGCTCCTTTATTAGCCGACCTGTTTTTATATTCCTATGAAGCAAAATTTATTCAAAAACATTTCCTGTGGCCTTCAACTCGACATTCAAATATATTTATGACGTTTATCAATTAACAATAGTTTCTTCCATTTATATGTCGACTCGATATATCCCAGTAAACTCGAAATACAAGCCACAATAGAGTCTGCCACACCTGTTTCATATTTGATCGTTTGAATGACTATAGACGATAAGGGCCAGCTAACAACTAAATTGTATGACAAACGACATGACTTCAGCTTTTCCATCTCAACTTTCCTTTTTTTATGTTGTAATATTTCACTAATACCTGCACATAGTATTCACGTCTCCCAACTTAATCGATACTCAAGAGCATGTTCTAAGTATGATCAATTTTTAAACCGAGGCAGGCTACTGACAGATGAGTTTATCTTATTGCCGCCAACCAACTCGCTTAAAATCAGTATTTCGTAAATTCTTTGGTCGTTAAAATGACATTGTTAGCAATAAAATATGGAGATGACGAACAGTACTCAAGCTCAAAGTCCATTAAAACAATACAAATCAGGAGCAGAGCAAACACGAATCTCCAAAAACATCAGAGATGGAATCAGGTGCCATGGAGGAGTGAGCATTCGCTGCCGACAGGTCACATTCACCGTGTGCTTTATCATGAACGGTAAATAACGGAAAATCCATCGACAATTCAGTGGCTTACCAATTAGTGTTACAAACGTCAGTCAGCATATGACTTAAAGATAGATTGTATTTGCTGACAAGGTCATTGTATCGACCATAGAACTTA